AAAAAAAAAAAAAATTTAAAGGGAGCAGGGTCTCTGCCTGCTGATCAGGAAAGATGCCAGAGGCCCATGCCTTCCCTTCCCCCACCAGGTTGCTGGCATTTACTTACTGCCAGCTGCGGTGGGATTTTCATTGCAGCAGCACCCCCAAATCCATTAATCTCTTTGGATACAGTGAGTTCAGGGCTGTAATGGTGTTTTATCAGCGGCAGCTTTGATTTTCAAAGACAACTGCAAACAAAGATGTGCTCTGCTATAGTTCTTGCTCTCGTGGCTGAGTGCTGTCCTGGGAGGACGGGCAGCTGGGCTGGAGGTGGCCTGCAGGAGCTGGGCAGGGTGATGCCCTCTGAGAGCCTGGGCTCATCTGCCCCTGCCTCTACCCCTCTTTAAATGGCCTTGCAGATAAGGCCAGTGTTCTGTGCAGAGCAGACGCTCAGTGGATGTCCTCTGAATTAGTGGAGAACAAATAAGCCGGCCTCATGCCCTGGGTTAGCCTCTGTGAGGCAGGGCTGGGGTAGAGCGTTGGTGTTTTGTTCTCTGTGGACATGCAGAGTGGGGCAGGCTGATATCAGAGTGATTTGGGGAAAACAACAGCAGTAATAATAATTATAAGCAACTAAGATGTGCCAGGCACGTGACACATGTCGTCTCTACTCCTTACAGCTGTCTTGTCAAGGGTGAGATGAGAGACCATAACCCCATTTATGGATGAGACAGCTAAAGCTCAGAGAGGTCAAATGACTTGTCCAACCTCACACAGCTAGTGGGGACAGAGCCCAGCCGTTTGAACACAGTTCTGTAGGACATCAAAGTCTTTGCTCCTCCACCTTCTCCCTCCCCCTCTCGGGGATTGGCCTGGGGCTGCGGTGGAACCAGGGCCAGCCGGGTGACGGCCGCATCAGTAACTCCTTGGAGAAGGAGGTGTAGAACTGACTGAGAAGCTCTGTCCACCACACAGGCACTATCTGAATGCAACCCTTCTCCCTTTAACTCACGTCAGGTACGGTTTTTTCCATTTCATGTAAACATTGTTCCGTTTTTAGAGAGATGAGGAGGAGATAAGCAGTGCGTGAGCAGGGCTGAGCATCACGCCTGATGTCTGGTTGATGCTCCAAGTTGGTAGTTGATTATTACCATCATGGGGCGCTATCCTTTCTTCCTTTACCTCCTTATACCATTAGCGTTTACCATCCCTGTGCCAGGCCCTTTCTACATTGTAAACTTAGGAGAGACGGCTTAGTGTGTCTGTATTTACAGGTGAGGAATCGGGAGACCCAGAGAGGGAAGCTCCCAGATCTGGATGGCACACTTCCATCGTTTCCACATGGATTTCCCACGTAATCTCCAGCCAGATAAAGATGCAAATTGTTTCTAGCCCTCTGGCAGGCTCCCTCACCCTCACCAGAATTGCCTTTCTGACTCTGTCACCAGAGGTCACTTCCACTCACCGCTGAAGTTCATATACGCGGAATCACACAGTGTAGTCTTTTGCCGTCAGTCACCTGTGGGTCTTTTCTGGAAGCTGTGTTCTCTTCCATTGGTCTATTGGTCCATCCTTGCAATAGTACCACACTGTCTTGTTTACTTAATTCCTCAGTCCCCTGCCCCTGGCGTCTGGGGTCTGCATGATCTGGGAGTGTCTTTAGTATTCTGAGATGTTGTCATTAAATACGTCTCCAGAGAACTCAGGCTGGGCAGTGGGTGGTGGCCCATGTGCTCTACTGTGCTGTCACTGACCATCGGTGATATTGGGAGAAGACTGGGGACAGGCCCTACTTTACAGAAAATAATCTGTTGTGTCTCTTACCAAGCAGCATCAGAGCCACAGGCCGCATGGAACACTAGTGGGGGTGAAGGTGTGTGTGTGTTTGTGTGCATGTGGTTTGAAGACTCCACGTTCCTGAAGCCTCTTCTAACGGACTTCTGAGGTTCTGAAGTCTCCTGAGGACTGTGGAGCTCCATGGGCTGGTCCTGGAGTGAAGCCCTCCATAGGACAGCCTGGCTAGGAGTATTCCTCGGACAGGGAAGTACAAGGGACAGACAGAAGTGATACGGGGCAAACATCTCACTCCGTATCCTGGGCACTAGGGTGTTTAGTGGCATCTCGGCTGCCACAGGCAGGTTCCTCAGCTTGGAGTTGGGGCTCAGGAAGTGGCTGTAGAAGGAATCGCTTTGCAGGTGGATGGGGATGACTCCAGACCCCCAGCCGCTTA